GTAAGACCCTGTCTCAAAAAAAACGGAAAAAAAAAAAAAAAAAGAATTTTGTGTAGCAAATTTTATGTGTTAAGAGTGGGAGTTGGAAAGACACACGCCACACGTATGTTTATTGCGGGCACTATTCACAATAGCAAAGACTTGGAATCAACCCAAATGTCCATCAGTGACAGACTGGATTAAGAAAATGTGGCACATATACACCATGGAATACTATGCAGCCATAAAAAACGATGAGTTTGTGTCCTTTGTAGGGACATGGATGCAGCTGGAAACCATCATTCGTAGCAAACTATCACAAGAACAGAAAACCAAACACCGCATGTTCTCACTCTTAGGTGGAAACTGAACAATGAGGTCACTTGGACTCGGGAAGGGGGAACATCACACACCGGGGCCTATCATGGGGAGGGGGGAGGGAGGAGGGATTGCATTGGGGAGTTATACCTGATGTAAATGACGAGTTGATGGGTGCTGATGAGTTGATGGGTGCAGCACAGCAACATGGCACAAGTATACATATGTAACAAACCTGCACGTTATCCACATGTACCCTAGAACTTAAAGTATAATAATAATTAAAAAAAAAAAATTCATGCAAAAAAAAAAAAAAAAAAAGAGTGGGAGTTGGTTGCTTCAGTTACTGCTGGGAAAAAAAGAGTGGGAGTTGGGATCTCAGGTCCCAACTCTTGGGACTCAGTTCAGTCCACCATCTTGGCTGGAAGTTCTCTGAGAGAACTTCAGAGAAGTGAAGGAGTTTAAACAGGGCAATGGCATAATTTGATTGTTCATGAAAAAAGATCCCTTTGTGGTGCTGAGGACAGATTAAGGGCTGCTATAGAGGTGATCATGGCCTTGCCTTCAGAGAGGGCATAAAGTTGAGAGGTGATCAGAAGATAGAACCAGCAATGGCCAAGGGTCATGATAGCAGTTGGGGTAGAGAGGAAGATTTTGAGCTTGGTACTCGAGTCCTCCAGGAAGCTGTGGATACCAGTGAAAAGCTGGCCAGAGTGGGAGGCAGGAGTTGCACGAGAACCTCGGGTTTGGAAATTGCAGTGACAGGGCCGGAGATGTGGATGACAAAGTGAAGCGGGTCCAGAGGGCGGAGGGCCCGCAGAGAGAAGAGGCACTCTCCACCAGTGAAGAGATGGGAGTTGAGAAGTTGGGGGTGGTATTTGCATTTTGGGCATTCTGAAAAGTCTCCAGTGTGTCCTACGAGCCTTAGACAAAGCAGACATTTGGGAGACATTTGTAGAGTGTCTTGGTGCCAGCATGAGCCAAGCCATCCTGCTTCCTGGTAAGCAGCATCTGGGCCCTGGCGGAGGAGGGGCCACCTTGAGAGCCTACAGGGCTGGGACCAAGTCCCCACGAGTCCCTCCCCTCCCCGCTCCCACTGCCCCTAAGTCCGGGTCTCCCTGCCTGCACCATCACCATAGTCCTCACTGATCTTCCTGCGTCTACTTAAACCATTTCAAGGATGATCACTGCCTACAAAATACAGTTCAGACTTTTGAGCTTTTTACTTACAGCCTCGACTGGCCTCCTCAGCCCCTGCGACTCTCCTATGAGTCCTCTCCTTCTTCTACCTGCTTCCCCAAATGTGCCTCCTGCATTCCCTGGGCTTTAATGCTGCTCTCTGCACTCCTCAGATGCTGACGCTGCGCCAAGGTCCAGCAGAGAACGGCGTCCTCTGTGCCTGGTGAGGGCAGTGAGCATTCGTGCTGTGAAAAGGTCATTCCTTCCTTTCATGTTCGACGCCTGTGGTGTGCCAGGCCCTGGACTAGGTGCTAGGCTGGATGTTAAAACTCACAGGGCACAGTCCCTGTTCTGAAGGTGCTTCCAATCCGGAGGTGCCGAACAGTGGCCCCAGTTAGCCAGAGGCAGTGGAATGGGGTTCCCATGCCGTTTTCACCTGAGCTGGGGTCCACAGCTGGCTCCGACTGTCTGTCAGGGTTTCAGCTGGCACCGTTGACTGACGGCGTTGCTTTGCAGGGTGGGGAATGGGGTGGAGACTTGAACATTTGTTCCATAGATGTCTGTGTTGTTTAATCTTGAAATCAAGGTGGGTTTAATATTTGCTTATGTACATAACTGTTTTTTGATTGAAAAATAAATTCTTTTATTTAGGTCTCTTTTTGACTTCATATAGTCAGTGACCTGTGTCAGCGCTCCTTGTGAATCCCCCGGACAGGCCCATGCTTGAACAAGCCTGTGGCTGCTCATCGTGGGGAGTGTCCACACCCTGGGGCGTCGTGTTAAGAGGGTGCTGGAAAGGACTTCTTACAGGATTCGGCTTGAGTAATCTGGGGGAGGGTTTAGGGAAGCAGGAGTTTGCTCTGGATTGGTGCTGTCAGGAAGCAGGCATCATTCTGCATTGGGAGTCTCAATGCATCGTATTTGGAAGGAGGACAGACTAGAACCAGGCCAGAGCTGTCAGCCGTGAAGAGGCAGCAGCCACTCAGACTGTCCCGGACAGGGCACTGCTTGCCCTTTTTACAGCTTGGACAGTGCCCATGTTTTGTCTGTGTTCAGACGTGATGACAGAGGGGTCCTGCTTTTGTATTGATTCATCATGGTGGCAGAGTAGTCTGCTGTTGCTGTTCTATGAAATTTTAACCAGGAGACACTGAGGCCTCTATCTGTGAGTGCCAGGCCGCTCCTAGCAACACCGAGGCCTCTATCTGTGAACGCCAGGCCGCTCCTAGCAACACTGAGGCCTAGAAGATAGGACCAGATCAGCTCCCAGGTGTCAGCGACTGGTCTTTCTACCTGAAGAATCAGTGTGGTGGCCTCACAGTTACTACAGGTGCATTCAGCCTCATGACTCCATGTGAGCACCCCCTGCCGATTCATCTGCCCGGACACATCACCAGGTACTTGGACTCCTCATTTCACTCCATGGCTGGGACACAGCAGATAGCAGACCTCTCAGTTGCCAGACACAATCCCATGGCCTTCGCTGCGCCCAGCCTGGCTTAATTGGTGCCTCCCGATGCTTCTGGAGGCATCTGTGCTCCCAGCTCCCCTCTGGCATGTCTCAGCATCTTGTGGCCCACTTCACCTGTTCACAGCCCCCATGGCTTCCCCTGTACAGTCACCTGTTCACAGCCCCCATGGCTTCCCCTGTACAGTCACCTGTTCACAGCCCCCATGGCTTCCCCTGTACAGTCACCTGTTCACAGCCCCATGGCTTCCCCTGTACAGTCTCTTGCCAGACTCATCTTCCTAAACACAAACCCAGCTGTGGCCCCTGCCCGAGTGCCCTACACCTGCAGGATAGGCCCAAGCCCTCCTGTGTTCAGCCCTGCCCTTCTCTCTGGTGGTGGGGGTCTTTGCTGTAGATCCTCCGGCCCCCTGGCCCTGCCCCATTCCCCAGGGACCCTCACTAAAGCCTCTCCCTCTCAGCCCGGAGTTTGTGTCTGTCTCGAACTCCTCAAGAAAACACTGTCCTGCCACATTTCACTTGGCAGTTATTCCTGAGACCACCCCCTGCCCCTGCACTGACGTTCTTGTTAGCCACATAAACACTTTTTTCTACTCTTTCGTATAAAATCTTGAGGGGTCTGGATATAGAACTAGGCGGGTTCTTTCTCCTCCTCAGCATGCTGGAGCACAGGCGGCACCTAGAGAGGAACTGTAACCTGCTCAGGAAACGGCTGGAAGGGGAAGTGGGGGAAGGGGAAGCCGTGTGGCCCACTTGCTGTTCAGCATGTGATTAGCTGCTGCAGAGGGCAATGTGGACTCCAGGAAGTGGCCGCGTGGCTGGGAAGGCAGCGTGTGTCCCCACGCTGTAGGGGCTGCAGCAGGGAGCACACTCATGACTCAGGTTGTGCAGGGTCAGGGCCCGGGCTGAGAGGCAAGGGGACAGCAGGAGGGCAGCTGGAGCCACCAGTGGACAGATGGCAGGGGCCGTGTACCAGGCTAAGGAGCGTGGACTTCATCCTGAGGGCACACTGAGGGTTTTAGGAGGCGGGTAGTGCAATGGACGAGATAGATGTTTCAGAAACACACCGCTAGGGTCCTGGTGGAGGGTGGGGCAGGCAAGGCGGCCAGGTGAGGCAGGGGAAGTTGGGAGGGCGAGGGAAGCGGGGCAGCCCTGCTCTGCTTGGAGATAATGCAGGAGGAGGTTTCAGGAAGGATGAGCCAAGCCCTGGGCAGCCCACAGCTGTGGTGGCCACTGATATCAGGGTGCACGGCTTCGTACATGGAGGTGCTAAGGGGACTGACTGGGTGGTGGGCAGGGGCCTTGAGAGATCCTCAGGCCTCGCTGCATGGAGAGCCTCGAGGCTGCAGTCCAAAGTTGCCTCTTGGCCTGGAGCCGCGGGGTGTGAGAGCTCAGCACGGCTCACACGCAGCCAGGTCCCACGCAGTGGAGGGATCCCCTGCAGAGTGGCAGGCGTCACAGGGCAGGAAACGCAGTACAGGCTGGGGCTGAGGGCTCCAAAAGACCGGGCCTGGGCAAGCCAACGGGCCCAAATGGCTGAGCCCTCAGTCTCTGTCCAGCTTTTGGACGGGACCTCCGGCCTGCGTTTCTCATGGGGAGGCTGGAGAGAGCCAGGGACCTCTGTGTGAGGCAGGCCCGGGCAGAATATCAGGGTGCCCACACAGATGGACTGCACAGAGCTGGGGAGGCCCAGGGAGCACCCGAGGAGCATGGCAGGCTGCCCTGGGGCAGGCCAGTGACCTGTGCCGCTGGCCCAGGCGACAGAAGAGTGAGAGGGCTATACCGTGCCATCTCCAGGGAGCACCTGGTAGACACAGCCAGCCCACTTACCATCAGGGTACCCCCAGCACAGGCTGAGCTCACTCTGAGCACCCCAGGGTCTCTGTCCATCAGTTAGGAACTCAACACACACCTTATGTAGCTGCGTGTGGGCAGAGGCTTGGCACTGTGTTAACCTCCACTTTCATTTCTGGTCCTGTGTCCCCATCAGCAGGGAAGGCCTGGAGCCCCTCCCGACTTCATGTTGAAAGTGGCAGGGAGAAGAGTGACCAGGGAAGGCAGAGAGCAAATCCCATTTATTGGAATTTCACTGACAGCAGATTGAGAGGAAGGCTGCCCCCTCCCCTGAAACATGCCGTCCTCTCTGCCCTCAGGGCTCAGCACAGGGATAAGACCCCACTCCGCATGTCCCCAGAGGGCAGCACTCCAGGGTGGGGGGAGGGGTGCTCTACGCCAGGCTGGGGAGCTGGGACAGGAGGGAAGACGTGCACCCTCACCTCTTGGCTCAATCCCTCTCCCCGGGACCTGGTGCTGCCCCCAGTCCCTGGGGTGGGCTGGCAGACAGGGCTCATGCAACAATGAGTAGACAGGAGGTGGCACAGAAACGTGGCCTTGTTGCCCCTTGGCGGGGCGGGAGGACTAAAGGGGCCATGCTGTGGCCACAGGGGGTCCAAACAGAAGTATCTGCAGTGTACATATGGGAGGGTTGGAGAGGGGCGTCCTCTGCCCCAGGCTGTGCCTGGGGACAAGAGAGAGGGAAGGACAGCTGGCACTGCCGTGCCAGGGGCAGGGTCCAGGCCAGCCATGCCACCTGAGCGGGCACAGAGAGCTGGAGCTGGGCTACTCCTTGGCGCGGCCAATGATGGTGAGGATGTACAGGAAGATGTTGATGATGTCTGTGTACAGGTTCAGCGCGGCAAACACGTACTCTTCCGGGCTCAGGGACAGCTGCTTGTTCCCCAACAGCAGCTGGGTGTCCACTGCCAGGAACTGGAGGTGACAGCACAGTGGTGTTGAGGGACAAGCCTGCCCGCCCAGCGTCCTGCCCCTGCCAAGGCCGCCCCTCACTCACGCAGGTGAAGAGCAGAGCGCCCAGCGAGGCGTACACAATCTCCAGGATGCGGTTCCGGATGAAGATGCAGAGGATGGCGAAGATGAAGAGCACCACCATGCTCACCAGGAGCACACCCATGCACGAGGTGAAGTCGTAGCGGGTCTGCAGGCGGGGGAGGAACGGGCCATGGGGCTGGGCCTGGGAAAGCTGCTCGGCCCCTGCGGCCACAGCCCAGCCATGGGAGGCCCCTCACCTGCATGGAGAAGATGACGACCGTGAAGCAGACGGCTGTGGTGATGCCCACGGCCATGATGACTGCCTCGGTGTTGTAGAAGCTGGCGATCATCCCCACCATGTACGACAGGCTGGCGGTCAGGACCGACTGTGGGTGGGAGACACACGCTGGCCTTGGGTGTGTGCCACCCCCGCCCGCCCCTGCCTCATGAGCACAAGGAGAACCAGGGTGACCAGGCCCGGAAGAGTGGGCGTGTGGGACTGCATGGCCAGACCCGGGCCCAGAGGCTCAGGTTTGGGGGTTACCAGTGCAACAAGGTTCCAGGGGTGCTTTCGCCGGAAGTCCCCACAACAGCTGAGGACGATGAGGGAGATGAAGAAGACAGCATAGGAGACATAGTAGGTCCAGACGTTCTCCCGGACAAAGCCCTTCACCTCCCCAACAAAAGTGAACACAGACACCGTGGACAGGGTCACCGACAGCTGCAGGGTCAGCACCAGGAACACCTGGGAAAGGAGCCGCTCGGAGTCATCCGCTGGGCGCCACACCCCCCACCTCCTCCGAGATGCCCCCACCCACCTTGCGGATGAAGGCCTGTCGGATGCTCTTGTCATCCCAGTCGGTGGCAGGGAAGTCCTGGTTGTCATAGTAGGATGGGGGACCCTCCTCCTGGTAGTTTCCATGCTGGGGTGCTGAGGAGCAGACAGGCTGGGTCAGCGCCACTCACAAGCACCTCCCCCTGCCCTCCCCGCCACCCCACCCCTCCCTTCCTGAGACTCACAGTCAGGGTCTTGTCCTGGGAAGGCCTGTGGCTGTCCATAGGGGTTGGGGGAAAGGGGCTCTGGGGATATGGCCCCTGGGGTAGCCCCCTTGGGGGTAGGGGCCCTGTGGGTAGCCCTCTTGTGGGTAGGGGCCCTGTGGGTAGGCCCCTTGGGGGTAGGGCCCTGTGGGTAGCCCCCTTGGGGTAGGGGCTGGGGCCATGGGGGTACCCTGGCTGACCGTAGGGTGAGGGCTGGAAAGGGGGCTGCGGGTAAGGGGCCCCAGGGTAGGGAGGCTGAGCATAGGGGGGCATGGGTGGCTGGGGCCCCCCTGGATATCCAGGGTTGGGGGGAGGATAGTTGTCCCCAGACACCAAAAAACTCTTTTCATGGGACATGGCCTCGGGTTCGGCGGTCCGCCCCTAGAGCAGGCAAACAAAAAACAGTGGAACAGTTGGCTTGCGCGACAGTGTCAGGACCCAGCCCTGCGCAACCCACCTGCTTCTCGGAACCCAGGGGGAAGAAAGGGAAGACCGTGACCTTTGCCACGGGCTGTGCGGAGCCCCAGAGCCTGGGCCTGGAGAACGCGTGGGAACCTGACCGGGACCGGCGCCGTGGGGCCTTCCCAGGACTCTAGGCCGCCTTTAGGGTGGGGAGGGGCCGGGCGAGGGGACAACCGCCAGCCTCGGGATTTGGGGCTTGGGTTGTTTATCACAAGCAACCGCAGGCCTGCACCGCTGCCGGCGTCTCCCGGGTGGGAGCTCAGCGCGTGGGGGCTGGGGTCTGGTCGGGGACGTGTGGGGTGTGCCCGGACCCTCCCCTCCGCATCCCGCCCCTTAAGCAGCTTTAAGGGGCCGGAGCCGGCGGCTATTTCTATCCTAGGAAATCCCCGGGCCATCTGTGACCAACAAGGGCCCGAGCCCCCCCACCCCCCCGAAGCCAACAACAGGGCCCAACGGCCCCGGGCTCCGGGTGGGGGATCAGGCCTCGATCGGCTGCCGGTGCCTGCCAGTGGGATACGCCGGGAACAGCGGGGTGCGGGGGTGTGTGGGGGATGGAAGCGACCACGGAGCGTGCGGGGAACAAAGCGGGCGTGGGGCGAGGCGGGTAGGGGCTGCGGCCGTGGCACTGACACCGAGGGCGGATGGGCCCTCCGCGGGCCGTGGGCGCACAGGGTCATGGGTCCAGCAGTCGCCGCAGCGCGCCGCCCCCTCCCTCCGGCTCCAGGCCGCCGCGGCTCCCCGCCCCCACCACCGCCGCCACCTCTGGCCGGGAGCAGCCGCGTGCCCCGGCGGGGCCAACTGACCGACCCGAGGCGGCCACGCTCGGATGCGCAGGACCCGCGTGGGGGCGGGGGCGGGGGCGGGGGCGGCCGGCCGCACGGCGCAGCGGGTCGGACGCGCTCCTGGGCTCTGGCCGGGGACTCACCGGTGGCGGGGCGCCGCAGGCCGGTGAGCACGGTGTCCGCTGCGCGGCCGCGCGGTGATGGCCGGTGCGCCCGCACCCGCACCCGCACCCGCTCCCGCTCGGCGGCCGCTCGGCTGGGCCTGCGCCTGCGGCTGGGAAGACGCAGCGGGGCCTTGTGACGGGGCGGGGTAGGGGGCGGGGCCGGGCGAGCTCGGGGATGGGCGGGGCGGGGCAGGGCGGGCGGGGCTTCCGCGGACCCCACCCACTGCGTCCCCGTGCTTGTTCCTTTTGGCTCTGGCTGGAGGCCCGCGCCCCTCACTGCCTGCCGAGGGCTGGGGTCGGGCGGTGGGCGCTGAAGACCCCTGGAGGCAGAAGTCTGGTCTGGCCAATTTGGCTGGCCGTTCGGTAGTTAAGAAATTTATTCCTAAATGCGGGATTTGCTGAAGCTACCCGGGACTGACCATCCGTTCTCTGCCTTAAAACACAACGTTCACTTCTTTTCATCCAGGTCTATCCCAAATCAAGAAGCCTAATCGTTTAGTTCCCAAATTGAGGCCTCATGGTTTAATTGCCCCATTTTCTCTATCAGCCCAAAGTCGGCCAGGCCTGCTACTAGAGACCTTTTTTTTTTTTTTTTAATTCTTGTGGATACATAGGTGTATGTTTATGGGCCACAAGGGACGTTTTGATATAGGCATGCATAATAATCACATCAAGGTAAATGGGGTATCCATCAGCTCAAGCATTTGTCCTTCGTGTTACAAACAATCCGGTTATACTCTTGGAGTTGTTTTAAAATGTACAATTAAATTATTTTTGATTACAGTCACCCTGTTGTACTAGCAAATACGATGTCTTATTTTCCCACTAGAGACCCTGAAGGCTCACTTGTCTGCCTGACGTCCTCACAAGCTGCGAGGGGCTGAAGCTTGAGGATACAGCAGGACTGGAGGCCAGGCCGCCTCCCTGCTTGGCTCCCAAGTCCTTTTGGGGGAACAGTGACTGGCACAGGCAGGGTGCATCCTGCTGCCAGCCTTCCCACCCAGGGCCCAGACCCCACCTGCCCTTCTGCCCTTGGAGGGCTGGCCGCTCCCAGACCGCTCTGAGTCCTGCACCTATGGTGCACTGGTGCAATGTTTAGCAACCAGACCTAGTGAGGGGAAGCCTGGGGTGCATTTTTTTGCACGTGCCCATGGTGTTATTACTCCACCAGGGCTGGTTTCAAGTTACCCCCAGCTGAGCAACCAGTCCACAGGAATTCCTGAAACTGTACCAGTCTGCTTGTGGTGTGAGTGGTGCCTGTGCCCTCTGCAGCCAGGGTCGGCATAATGGGTAACCTGTGATGAGTTCCATTAGAGGAAACGTGGGAAAAGCAGGGATGGATTTACCTTTGTAGAAGCAGAAGCTCACAAAATTTGAGAGACCTTTAAGAAAAATAAAATGCCGGCCGGGCGCGGGGGCTCACGTCTGTGATCCCAGCACAGTGGGAGGCTGAGGCGGGCGGATCACAAGGTCAGGAGATCCAGATCATCCTGGCTAACCCAGTGAACCCCTGTCTCTACTAAAAATACAAAAAAAAAAAAAAAATTAGCTGGGTGTGGTGGTGTGCACCTGTAATCCCAGCTACTGAGAAGGCTGAGGCAGAAGAATTGCTTGAACCTGGGTGGCAGAGGTTACAGTGAGCTGAGATCGTGCTACTGCACTCCAGCCTGCGTGACAGAGTGTGACTCTGTCTCAAAAAATAAATAAATGAATAAATAAATAAATAAATAATAGCCGGGTATGGTAGCGCACGCCGGTAATCCCAACACTTTGGGAGGCTGAGGCAGGTGGATCATCTGAGGTCAGGAATTCGAGACCAGTCTGCCCAATAGGGTGAAACCCTGTCTCTACTAAAAATACAAAAATTAGCTGGGCATGGTGTTGTGTGCCTGTAATCCTGGCTACTTGGGAGGCTGAGGCAGGAGAATCCCTTGAACCAGGGAGGCAGAGTTTCAGTGAGCTGAGATCACACCATTGCACTCCAGCCTGGACACAGAGGGAGATCCCGTCTCAAAGAAAATAAACACTTTTTTTTTAAATTTTGAGACGGAGTCTTGCTCTGTCACCTAGGCTGGAGTACAGTGGCTTGATCTCGGCTCACTGCAAACTCCGCCTCCCGGGTTCATGCCATTCTCCTGCCTCAGCCTCCCAAGTAGCTGGGACTGCAGGCGTCCACCACCACGCCCGGGTAATTTTTTTTTTTTTTTTTTTTTTTTTTTTTTTTTTTGAGACGGAGTCTCGCTCTGTCACCCAGGCTGGAGTGCAGTGGCGCGATCTCGGCTCACTGCAAGCTCCGCCTCCTGGGTTTACGCCATTCTCCTGCCTCAGCCTCCTGAGTAGCTGGGACTACAGGCGCCCGCCACCGCGCCCGGCTAATTTTTTGTATTTTTAGTAGAGACGGGGTTTCACCGTGGTCTCGATCTCCTGACCTTGTGATCCGCCCGCCTCGGCCTCCCAAAGTGCTGGGATTACAGGCGTGAGCCACCGCGCCCGGCTCCCGGGTAATTTTTTGTATTTTTAGTAGAGACGGGGTTTCACCGCGTTAGCCAGAATGGTCTTGATATCCTGACCTCGTGATCCGCCTGCCTCGGCCTCCCAAAGTGCTAGGATTATAGGCGTGATCCACTACGCCTGGCCAAAAATAAATAAATTTTTAAAAATTAAATAAATAAAGTAAAATGCTGAGTACAAAGTTGAGTAAAGGGCTTCAGGAGGGGTCGTGTAGGCAGAGTCCCTAAGTGTCTTTAGATTTATGTTAAATCTGCCTTAAAAACAGAGTAAGGGGCTGGGCACAGTGGCTTGTGCCTGTAATCCTAGCACTTTGGGAGGCCAAGGTGGATGGACCACCTGAGGTCAGGAGTTCGAGAGCAGCCTGGTCAACATGGTGAAACCCCATCTCTACTAAAAATACAAAAATTAGCCGGGCATGGTGGCACACATTTGTTTTCCCAGCTACTCAGGAGGCTGAGGCAGGAGAATCACTTGAACCCAGTGGGTGGAGGTTGCTGTGAGCCGAGATCACGCCACTTCACTCCAGCCTGGGTGAAAGGGTGAAACTCCGTCTCGGAAAAAAAAAAAGGCAGAGTAAGGGAGATCATGCCAGAGGGGTGGCCATGGGGGTTTGTGGGGAAGGCCAAGTAGAGGAAAGGGCCAGTCCCAGGCCACTGAGGCAGGAGTGGCCTGTAGCTCTGCAGGAAGAGCTGAGAACCTGGAGCCCTCTGAGCATCAGGGTGTGCAGGGGGCATGGGGCCAGAGAAGGGACTGAGGTCTGGTCAGGTGCAGCTGGGCAGGTCCTTAAAAGGACTTTGGAGTTTTTGTTTTGTTTTGTTTTGTTTTAGACAGAGTCTCACTCTATCACCTAGGTTGGAGTGCAATGTCATGATCTCAGCTCACTGCAACCTCTGCCTCCCAGGTTCAAGCGATTCTCCTGACTCAGCCTCCCAAGTAGCTGAGATTACAGGTACCTGCAACCATGCCTGGCTAATGTTTTCATTTTTAGTAGAGACAGGGTTTTACTTTGTTGGCCAGGCTGATCTCAAACTCCTGACCTCGTGATCCAGCTGCTTCAGCCTCCCAAAGTGCTGGGATTACAGGCGTGAGCCACTGCGCCCAGCCCCCAGCACTTTGGTTTTTACTGTTGCTGATGCTCGGAGCTATGTAGCAGCTGCTGGTGTCACTTTACAAGGCCCACCCTGACCCCTCTGTTGAGGACCCACCATGGGAGTGGCAGGCAGACAGAGACTAGTTAAGAGGTGAGCTTAGCTACCTAGCAAGAGATTCTGGAGGCTGGGACCAGGGTCGGGGCAGCAGAGGTGCGGCATGTGCAGGGCTGGGAGCGAAGGCTGGCCAGGGTCCTCAGCTCCCTGGAGGGAGGAGCAGCAGGGGTGGGGCTGGGTTTTGGTGGGCTGAGGGGTGAGTGGGAAGTAGGAGACGGAGAGCAGTAGTAGCCACAGCTCTTTGAAAGGCTGGAAACAAATGGAGCTTGGGTGATGTCGGGGATTTGTGGTGAGTGGGATTGTGGATTCTGAAGGCACTGCCCAGGTTTGAGGCCTGGTGCTGCTGTGGGCCTGTCTGCACCTCTGTTTCCCTTTCTGTGGTGAGGATTAGTGGCAGCAAAGAATGCAGTGAGGCCATCACCCTGTCACCTTCTGGGGTTATTTGTGACGATGCCAATGATGGTGTGAGATGGGGAGGTGCAGGCAGGACAGAAAGCTGCAGGAATGGGCGGGCAGGACCCAAGGCGGGAGGAAGGCTGTGCTGCAATGCACGCTCTTGGAGACCAAGGGTGGGGAGCTGCCTATGCTCAGCAGCTGGCAGGTGTGAGGGTCCAGGAGCAGGGTTGAGAAGGTTGCTGGAGGCATTGAAGGCCAGCCTTGGCCAGGGGCGGACCTGAAGACCCAGCACTTGTCATGCAGAGGGTGTCATGGACACAGAGGCTTGGAGATCCTGAGTGAGGGGCAGTGACTCAGGCCCCTTGGTGGGTTTAGTGGGGAAGGTGATTGGCCATTTTCGGACCATGGAGGCCAGGGGAGTGGAGGGCCACCAGAGGACACTCCTGTCTACCCTGCCAGCCAGGGGCTGGAGTGGGCCAGATGGGGCCAGTGGACTGGACTGGGCTGGCTGGAGTGTCCTGAGGGGTCCAGCCTGGCCAACACCTCCTGGTCATCTGGGGGTTGAGGCTGCAGCAGGAGAGGAAGCTTCTGAGCCCCAGTAACCAGGCCTCAGCGCCCGGGGCCCAGCTGCTCCCTCCCTCCTTCCGTCTTTCAGTTTCACTTTTGTTTTCCTGCTCCCTGCAGAGTTAGGCTTGCTGAGGGGCAGGCGCAGGAGTCCTGGCTGAGCTCATGACCTGAGGCTGCCGAGCGGCAGCAGGGAGTGTAAGTACCGTGTGTGGGGCCACCCATAACGGGTGAGTATTGGGGGCACCCCTCGGAGGGGCCTGGGGAGGGGTAGGAGGGGTGGAGTGGGCTGTTTCCCTACCCACCCGATGCCCCATCCCAGGGTTGCAATGGCGGAGGCAGAGGCAGGGGTGGCAGTGGAGGTCCGTGGACTGCCTCCTGCCGTGCCCGACGAGCTGCTCACACTCTACTTTGAAAACCGCCGACGCTCTGGAGGGGGGCCTGTGTTGAGCTGGCAGAGACTGGGCTGCGGGGGCATCCTCACCTTCAGAGAGCCTGCAGGTGAGAGGACTGGCTGAAGGGGCAGCCTGGGTGCCTTGACGTTCTGATGCCTGACGTCCTGCCCTGCCACTGCCCACAGACGCCGAGAGGGTCTTGGCCCAGGCAGATCACGAACTACATGGTGCCCAGCTGAGCCTGCGGCCAGCTCCACCACGAGCCCCTGCACGCCTGCTGCTCCAAGGACTGTCCCCTGGCACCGCACCCCAGCGTCTGGAGCAGCATGTCCAGGCCCTGCTGCGTGCCTCGGGGCTCCCAGTACAGCCCTGCTGTGCCTTGGCCAGCCCCCGGCCGGACCGGGCTCTGGTCCAGTTGCCCAAGCCCCTTTCAGAGGCAGGTGAGAGGCGGGTTGGGGTTGAGGGGCTGGCTAGGGGAGCTTCCCTGAGCTGACCTGCACTTTCCCCACAGATGTGCGTGTCCTGGAGGAGCAGGCCCAGAATCTGGGCCTGGAGGGGTCCTCGGTGTCCCTGGCCCGGGTGCCCCAGGCCCGAGCAGTGCGTGTGGTGGGGGACGGCGCCTCTGTGGACCTGCTGCTGCTGGAGCTGTACCTGGAGAATGAGCGCCGCAGTGGTGGGGGGCCCCTGGAGGACCTGCGATGCCTGCCGGGGCCCCTGGGCACTGTTGCCTCCTTCCAGCAGTGGCAAGGTGAGTGGGGCTGGGCAGACCCAGCTGACCCTCCCTCTCCTGGAGAAATCTGACAGGTTTTCTGTCCTTTCCCTTCCTCCAAGTGGCAGAACGAGTGTTGCAGCAGGAGCACCAGCTGCAGGGCTCAGAGCTGAGCCTTGTCCCCCACTACGACGTCCTGGAGCCTGAGGAGCTGGCTGAGAACACCAGTGGAGGGGACCACCCATCCACCCTGGGGCCTAGGGCTACCAAGCATGCTATCCTGAGGACTGGAGGGCTGGTGACCGCTCTGCAGGGTGCAGGGACTGTGACAATGGGCTCTGACGAGGAACCAGGGCAGTTAGGGTCCTCTCTGAGGACTGGTCCCATGGTGCAAGGTACAGGGACTATGACGACGGGCTCTGGCGAGGAATCAGGGCAGTCAGAGGCCTCTCTGAGGACTGGTCCCATGGGGTCTCTGGGACAGGCAGAGCCAGTCGGCTCAATGCCCATGGGGTCTCTCGAACATGAGGGGCTGGTAAGCCTGAGGCCTGTGGGGTTGCAGGAACAGGAGGGGCCCATGAGCGTGGGGCCTGTGGGGTCTACAGGCCCAGTGGAGATCTCTAAGGGGTTGCTAGGGCAGGAGGGCCTGGTGGAAATTGCCATGGACTCACCAGGGCAAGAAGGGCTGGTGGGTCCCATGGAGATCGCCATGGGGTGTCTGGAGAAGGCCGGGCCTGTGAGCCCAGGACACGTGAAGCTGGCGGGGCAGGAGGGCCTGGCGGAGATGGTGCTGCTGATGGAGCCAGGGGCGATGCGCTTCCTGCAGATCTATCATGAGGACCTTCTTGCGGGCCTGGGAGACGTCGCTCTCTTCCCACTTGAAGGACCGGATGTGACTGGCTTTCGGGTGAGTGGCCCCTCAGGACTCCTCACCTTTGGCCCCCTCCTCCTACTGACTCAGAATACCTCTTCTGTGCTCTAAACCTGCAAACTCCGCCTCTGCCATGGCCCTGCAGCTCTGTGGAGGCCAGACTTCCTGCCAGGCGGCCGAGGAGTTTCTGCGGAGCCTGCTGGGCAGCATTAGCTGCCATGTGTTGCGCCTGGAGCACCCGGGCAGCGCCAGGTTTCTCCTGGGCCCAGAAGGGCAGCGCCTTCTCCAGGGGCTGGAGGCTCAGTTCCAGTGTGTCTTTGGGACAGAGCGCCTGGCCACAGCCACCTTGGACACAGGCCTTGAAGAGGTAGAGATGGAGTCCCATCCCTGCCCTCCGCTTTCTCACGCCTCTGCCCCAGACCTCCTCTGCCCTTGCCCAGAGGCTAGTGGTCCTGACGTCCTCTCCCTACAGGTGGACCCTACCGAGGCCCTCCCAGTGCTCCCTGGTGATGCCCACACCCTGTGGCCCCCAGACAGTACAAGTAGTGACCAGGAGGACGTGAGCCTAGGTAGGACTCCCTGGGAGCCCTCAGCACATCCTGTGGCCCTCACTTGACCCCACCCCCTGCCCTGCTCTGTCCTCCCATCTGTCTACTGACCCATCTTAGGCCCACCGTGTACCCAAAAACTTGCTTCCCATCTTTCACCCATTCCAACTCCTCCTGGGCCCAGCCCCTGACCCAGTGGCCTCTCCCTGCCTCCAGAGGAGGTCCGAGAACTGCTGGCCACCCTGGAGGGCCTAGACCTAGACGGGGAGGACTGGCTGCCTCTGGAGCTGGAGGAGGAAGGGCCTCAGGAGCAGCCAGAGGAGGAGGCGACCCCAGGGCATGAGGAGGAGGAGCCTGTGATCCTGGCACCCAGGCGGCTGGAGGAGGAGGCCGCTCTGCAGGTGGCCCTCCACCGGTCGCTGGAGCCTCAGGGTCAGGCGGCTGAGCAGGAGGAGTCTGCTGCCCTGCGCCAAGCCCTAGCCCTCTCCCTGCTGGAGCAGCCCCCGTTGGAGGCAGAAGAGCCTCCAGATGCGGGGACTGATGGGAAGGCCCAGCTGGTGGTGCACTCGGCCTTTGAGCAGGATGTGGAGGAGCTGGACCGGGCACTCAGGGCTGCCTTGGAGGTCCACCTCCGGGAGGAGACAGTGGGGCCCTGGCGCCGCACACTGCCTGCAGAGCTGCGTGCCCGCCTGGAGCGGTGCCACGGTGTGAATGTTGCCCTGCGCGGTGACTGCACCATCATCCGTGGCTTCGGGGCCCATCCTGCCCGTGCTGCCCGCCACTTGGTGGCACTTCTGGCTGGCCCCTGGGATCAGAGTTTGGCCTTTCCCTTGGCAGCTTCAGGCCCTACCTGTGAGTCTACATCCTGGACTGAGGGATGGTGGGGTGGGCTGGTTAGCAGGGGCTAGTGCCCCAGGCATGGCTCTGACCTCCCCTTTTCCCCACGCATCAGTGGCGGAGCAGACGCTGAAGGGGCCCTGGAACAAGCTGGAGCATCTGGCAGAGAGCACCGGGGAATTCCGAGAGGTGGTGCAGGCCTTCTACGACACCCTGGACGCTGCCCACAGCAGCATCCGCATCGTTCGCGTGAGTCCATGCCCTGTCTCTCTGGCCCCATGGCGTCCTGGGCTCTTGCACCATCAGCACCTTGCCAAGTCTGTGGCCTGTCCCTCTTGCCTACATCAAGGTCAGCTGACCAGGAGCTGACAGGCTCCCAGCCCTGTTCTCTGCCCAGAGGGCGTTCCCAAAGTGGGTAGGGAAACAGGAGGGAACAGAGTGGGGGTCTTGGGATCTGATAGGCCTGAATGAGGGTCCCCACTCTGCCGCTCATGACTGGGTCACCAGGGACTATGGGACCACTGCCAGGCCTCAGTTTCCTTATTTGGAGCATGGGCGGTGACGCCCTCTTGTGGCTATTGTGAGGATTATTCGTTTCACAAATGCATCCCTTGTGCTGTTCGGGTGCTCTTCTGCCTCCACAGAAAGGCCCAGGCTCGCTGCGGTCACTGTGCTGGGGTCACTGTGCTGATAACACTGCGTGGGGCACTCTCAACTCTTGATGTTCAAAGTTGTGCGTGAGGCCAGCAGCATCACCCTCCACCAGGAGCTGGTCAGAAATGCAGAAGGAACCTCTGGTTGTCCTCAGACCTGACCACCACCATCACCACCAACACCACCAACACCACCAACACCAACACCATCACAACATCGCCATGACCCTCACTACCATCACCATAATCACCATCACCATGACCCTCACCACTCACTGTCATCACCATCACCATCACCATCACCATCACCATCACCACCACCATCACCACCACCATGGCCACCATCGTCACCATCACCACCATTAGCATCACCACTATCACTGTCAGCTTCACCAACACACCTTCACCACTCACCACCACCAGCATCACCACCACCCAGACGCACTGAGCTCATATCCTGGTGGTTTTGTTAATTATATGTACTTGGTTCTTCCGGTGAGCACCTTTATGACTTTAACTGGTACACTTGAATATTTTTTTTCACTTGACAGCTTTAGAGATTGTTTCTTGCCTTCCTGCAAGAAGGTAAGATGGAGGAGAATGGGCCTCGCTTCTCTCTCTTTTGCCTCCTTCCTCACCTTCCATCTCAATTTGGTCAGTTACATTATTTTTATTATGTAGTAAAGGTTTCTGTAACTATCACAAAGCCTCCATGCTTGGACCATAGGTTGGTAGACATACTATAATAATGAAAAAATATTTACCATTGAGCCATAGAAAGAGAAATGAAATCCTAGTTATTAAAACTGTGTTCTGTGAAAAAGGTATTCTAGAATTCAAGGCTAATGGCCGTTGTTTTTTTGACTTTATTTTTTCTGGGTCATGCTTGACCACTGGGTTACTCAGTCCCCACTTGTCACATTTTGGCACAGATTCTTTTGTTTAGTGGGAGTATCTCCTTGAGTGGATGGCAAACATATTTGACTTTTAAATTTATGTATATGTGAACATATATATAAACATATACATTTATATAGATAAACATACACATTTATATATATATATGATTTTCTTTAAGACAGTGTCTCTCTCTGTTGCCCAGGCTAGTGTGCAGTGGTACAATCTCGGCTAACTGCAACCTCCGCCTCCTGAGTTCAAGTGATTCTGCCTCAGCCTTCCAGGCAGCTGGGATTATAGGCACACACCACCACACCCAGCTACTTTTTGTATTTTTAGTAGAGATGGGTTTTGCTTTTTTGTTTTTTTTTTTTTTTGAGATGGAGTCTCACTCTGTCGCCCAGGCTGGAGTACAGTGGCACGATCTCAGCTCACTGCAAGTTCTGCCTCCTGGGTTCATGCCATTCTCCTGCCTCAGCCTCCTGAGTAGCTGGGACTACAGGCGCCCGCCACTACACCTGGCTTATTTTTTGTATTTTTAGTAGAGACGGGGTTTCACTGTGTTAGCCAGGATGATCTGGATCTCGTGACCTCGTGATCTGCCCACCTTGGCATCCCAAAGTGCTGGGATTACAGGCGTGAGCCATTGCACCCGGCCGAGACGGGGTTTTGCCATGTTGGTCAGGCTGGTCTCAAACTCCTGACCTCAAGTGATCCACCTGCCTTGGCCTCCCAAAGTGCTGCGATTACAGGCATGAGCCACTGCGCCTGGCCGACTTTTAAATTTACGTTGCCCTTTACAATTGGAGGTATTTTGCAACTGTAATTTGATGTTGGTATAAACTTCCATGTTCTCGTGTGTCCTAATATGCCCTTATTTGTCCTCATTCTTCATTAATAGTTTGGCGGAATATAGTGCTCAGGTTCAAAATATGTTTTGCCTCAGATATTTGAAGACATTGCTGTTTTTTTTCCTTCTTAAAAAATATTTTTCTTGGAAAGTTAAAAAATATCCCCCCGTGGTTTCTTAGCATCTGGTGTCTGCAGTGAGAGACCCAATGTGAGAAGGCGAGATTTCTTCCCATTTGCATATTGAGCTCGGGGTGTGTGTGTGTGAACTTGCAGGGTTTTCTTTCACTCTGAGGGTTGAGGTTTCCTGGCAGGTGGGTGCCCCTGGCAGGGGTGTGTCTTTCCTCACTGTCCTTCTGGGCATTTCACAGATCTTGTGTATCTGAAGATGTTCCTTTAGCTCAGGGAAGCCATCTTCCCTGTGTGCACTGGAGCTCCGGCCAGTGGAGCTCATGCCCCTTCACCTGCTCCCTCGGAGTTCCTTTCTCTTCCCTTAGCTCCGCACCCTGCGTCAGTTCCTGAACTCCATCTAGAACACTAGCTGGGGCTTTAGTTTGAACCACTTCCTCATTTGGCTCACCCCGCTGGAGTGAGCTCAGCGTCCCTTTCTGAACGTAGGAGCACTCTGGTTTTCAGACTAGTTCCTTTTCATGGCAGCTAGTCTTGTTTAATGGACATAGTGTTCTTTTGCAACCCTGTGAAAAAACTATTTAGAATTTCTTTAAAAGTGTTTCCCAGGGCTGACTGTCGGGTTGGTCACCTGAGGCCTTCTCTCCCATCCGGGTCTTTCAGCACTGAGAGGTCTGTGGGCAGCTCCCGGTGCTGGAGTCAGGTCCTGCAGGCAGCATAGGGCCGTGGCTCAGCTCTTCTCTGCAGAGGCCTCGGTGTGAGTGGGTGGGGTTTGCCCACCTGTAGACCTCCACGGGAGGGGGGAGGGGGGCATCAGACTCCCCTGGAGGGGTCAGTCTCCCCAGAGGCCCTCTGAAGTCACTTGTCTCATGGAGGTGCTACTGTCTGCTGCTGGACAGAGCATGATGGAGGCTGCAAGGGCTCCCTCAAACCCTCCAACAGAGGGCTCCTGGTTGCCGGGCTCAGTTCTGCCCTGGGTGGGCCCCAGGGCAGAGGAAGGGTGTTTAATCTTGGCCTGGGCCATCCCCCCGCAGGTAGAGCGGGTGTCGCACCCGCTGCTGCAGCAGCAGTATGAGCTGTACCGGGAGCGCCTGCTGCAGCGATGCGAGCGGCGCCCGGTGGAGCAGGTGCTGTACCATGGCACGACAGCGCCGGCAGTGCCTGACATCTGCGCCCACGGCTTCAACCGCAGCTTCTGCGGCCGCAACGGTGAGGCCTGAGCCCGGCAGGCGCGGGGGCTCTGCGCACCCTGACCACCCTGACCTTGCCCTGTCCCGCCCTGCAGCCACGGTCTACGGGAAGGGCGTGTATTTCGCCAAGCGCGCCTCCCTGTCGGTGCAGGACCGCTACTCGCCCCCCAACGCCGATGGCCACAAGGCGGTGTTCGTGGCACGAGTGCTGACCGGCGACTACGGGCAGGGCCGCCGCGGTCTGCGGGCGCCCCCTCTGCGGGGCCCAGGCCACGTGCTCCTGCGCTACGACAGCGCGGTGGACTGCATCTGCCAGCCCAGCATCTTCGTCATCTTCCACGACACCCAGGCGCTGCCCACCCACCTCATCACCTGCGAGCACATGCCCCAGGCTTCCCCCGACGACCCCTCTGGGCTCCGGGGCCACTCCCCAGACACTTAACCGAAGGGGCCACCTTCTGGCCTCCTGCTTCCCAGGCTCCTGGCTCCGCACAGCCTGATGCCCCCGCCCCCAACTGTGGCCGCCTGAGCTGCGGAATCCAGAAGGCGGTGTGGAGTTGGGGGTCAGCAGCGGCCGAGGGGGGCTGGGCTGGGTCCCCGCCTGGGCCGACCCCACCACCAGGGGTCAGCAGAGCCCAGGAGGCGACGCCGCCCGCCCGCCGCGCCCAGACCTCGCCTGAATCGGCTCTGTTGTTTGAATAAACGTGAACGTGAACCCAAGCGGAAGGGCCCCGGGAACTCCGACTGCGACCTCTGTTTGGGGACTGGGGACCTCCGCGGCCCAGGGGCGGGGTCTGCAGCTCCCGAGGAGGCGTCGGGGTGCGGGGCGGGGCCCGGAGCGCACCGGGGCCAGCGCACTGCGTTCCTGTGTCGCGCACGCTGGCGCAGACAGCGTCTCCTTGCCGACCGGCCCGCCCCGTGCACCCGGGACTCAGGTGTGCGCCGCGCCCTGGCCGAGTCTCCCCGCTGCCCTGGCCGAGTCGTCCCGCGCGGGCACCGGCCCCGCCGCTCCCGTGATCTCGCGCAGACACGGGCGCGCCGCGCAGACACGGGCGCCCGATCTCGCGGGCAGCGTTCGCTCGCGCTCCTCCGGGCCCGCGCGGTGCAGCTCTGGGTGGGGGCTGGGGCGGGGCTCGGGGTTCGCCCCGCCTGCGCCGCCTCCGCTGTTCTCCCGGCCCCAGCAGTCTGGCTGCGGCGGCAGAGCTGAAGCGAGCGGAGCCACCAGGCACGTAAGACCGCGGCCAGGATGGAGAGGCGCGCCGCGTGCGGGCGTTGCGGGGTGGGGGTCGGGGGGGGGGTCTCCGGCCGCAGGCCACACGGAACTGGGGGCTGCGTCGCGCCCCCTCCTGCCCTCGCTCGAGAGGACAGGATCTCCCTGCGCGCTCGAGACTGCGGAACTGGACGGGCGGTGCCCGGGGTGTGGGCAGGAAAGGCTGCTGGGGAGGCGCGGCTGACCGCAGGGCTCTGGGCCGGGGACTGCAACCAGGGCGGCCCGTGGAGGAGCCAGTGGGGGCGGGGCGCGGCGGGCCCCTGCTCGGTGTCCGCTGTCTCCTCCCTAGCCCTTGGCCTGAGGGCGGAGGCACAGAGCCCACATTGTGCCCCCACACCAGCCCACCCTCGCCGAGACAGAGTCCCATTCACCTCTCGCACGCCAGTGCTCTTGGGGACGGGGGCTGGGAAGTGTGGGCGCGTGGGTATGCGTGCGCCCTGGTTGCGTCCGCCGTGCAGGTGTACGCGCCCCCACGGTGGGCTGCTGGAGCGGCTGCCTGGGCTCCCTCCCGGCCTCGCCGCAGCAGAGCTCCGGCGGCCCACGCCGCTGCGGCTGTAGCTATTTATAGGCCTTCGCTGCGGAGATGGAGGTGGGACTGCGGGCTGAGGTGGGGTGGCGTGATGGGGAGTCCTAGAGGTCAAGACAGCTTGGAGGTGGACTGCTGGTGTCCAGGGAAGGGCTTGGGTGTCCTTCCCTGATGACCCGGGGAGTGGTGGGGGCAGTGGTCAGCGTTCCTTGATGGCCTCGCCTGCCTACGATTAGAGGGTTAGAGGCGGGTCCAGTTTGGGATGGAGGCAGTGGAGGCCCACATCTGAGTGAAGGTAGTCGCCTTTCGCCTTCCACTGGACAGGGTGGAAGGTGGTCTGTCCTGTGCCGGTTGAGCCCCTGGGTGACAGAGTAGGAGGGTGTGGGTGACTAAGAGAGGAGAGTGGCACTCAATGTGCGGGAGTGGGGGTGGCCAGGGTGGTCAGTGTCCTGGTGATAGACTGGAGGGTGAGGCCAGTGGCTGGGGGGGGGGTCACTGTGGGTGTCTGAGGAATGGGCGGGAGGGGGCGAGGCAGTCATGGATGGAGAGAGGGTAAGTGCCTGGGGCCAGAGCATGGGGGTCAGTATGTGGGTACAGCAGGGTGCAGGAGGGGTGTGGGTGCCAGTGTCCAGGCGAGAGGGTGAGTGGGGCGGGGTCAGTGTCTAGATTAAGAAGGTGGTGGGTGGGTCGGCGTGCAGAGTCCACTCCTGAACAGGCAGAGGTGTGACCCCTCCTGCTTCCCCTCCAGGAGGCCATGTCGGGTGAGGACGCTGAGGTCCGGGCAGTCCCCGAAGATGTCTCCAATGGAAGCAGTGGCTCGCCCAGTCCCGGGGACACACTGCCCTGGAACCTTGGGAAAACGCAGCGGAGCCGGCGCAGCGGGGGTGGCGCTGGGAGCAACGGGAGTGTGCTGGACCCTGCGGAGCGGGCGGTCATTCGCATCGCAGGTAACTGCGCAGGGCCTTGCCTGTGCACCGCCTTAGCA